CACATCTTCCCAGTTGAAGAAACCAAGACAGCAGGGCTAGAGGGTATGGAAATAAATGTAAGACAGGCCAAGGAATCTGGAGTTCCATTGGAAATTCTAGATGGACTCGAATCCTAATTAAGTCAAAACCCTAAAGATTTTGCAAGGTGAGCTCTTATGAGGCCTGGCTTTAGGTACAGAGCAGAGCAGGAGGGCACTTAGGAAGCCAGGAAAGAAAAGCCAGAAGCAACAGCAGTGAAGCTGTAAACAGCTACAGATACCTTTCGGGGACTGAGAAGAGGTGATAACATGGACCTGGATAAGCTTTCATGCTTTCTGTAAACCAGGAAGTCTACAGTCCCATTACTTCACTCCCCTAACAGAAATGTTATCTTTTCCTGTAAAGCCAGTATCTATCACCCTCCTTTCCTACATGTCTGGCCTCCGAGAACCCTTTTAACAGTCTTCCCAAACATCGGATTAAAGGATTTAGGTTGAACGGATTGGTGTTCCCTTGACTGCTGGGGTTCCTAGCCCACCAAAACTGAGCAGTCATGTCCAGAAATCTGAGCAGCTCTTTGAACACAGCACAACAGCACAGTATTTTCCTGATAACTGGGTGACAAGTGTCATGGCCCATACCTAACCCACACTATATGGTACCATATGAGGCACATCAAATTCAGTCAGAAAGCCTGGACTGGAGAGCTAGCCTCATTCTGACTGATCTTAATCCAATTATCTGTTTCTTTATAAAAAGTGAAAGAATATCCATTACACAAGATTATTTGGTATTAAGGAAATGCGTATTTATTTATAATTTACTAAGTACTAGATTTCATGAATAATCTCATTTAATTATGCAATATGATATTTGTTAAGATGCTATATCCAGAAATAATAATTACTATATCATTCAAAAAGGACTGTGATTCACAAATTTGATAAAAACTAATTTTGAGCTGAAACTGGTAAATTGGTGAAAGGAGGTTTAATTTTGTTTGCTTTGTTTGGTTTGGTATCTTACGAAGTTGTGGCTTATAGAAACCACACAGTATTAGCAGGCATTCAGACCAAGGGTGGGAAGAGTTTTATTTCATTAAACCCAAAAATGTTCTTACACAAAACTCACTTCCACCACTTCCCTACAAAAAAATATTACTCATCTATTATTTTCACCGTCACAAAGGAAAATATCTAGGTTATTACTTTCAATTTAAGAAGTTAAAAGTAAATTTTCTTCATAATAAGCAAAAGTAAACCTAGAAATCTTTCTCTAAGACTTAGGAAATGAAGCAACACAAACATTTAGAAAGTGTAACAAGCTGGAAATTTACTAAAAACTTTAGCATAAATATTCTTCATTATTCATGGTTATAAAAATCAGCACTATTCTTTCCTCTAAGAGTTAAGAAATTAAAAGGCAACTGTCAGTCTGGGGATGTACCTCAGAGACAGAGTTCTTTTCTAGCACACATAAGGACTTGGATTTGATTCTCTAGAAATACACACACACACACACACACACACACACACACACACACACACACACACACACACAGGAAGGCAACTCTCAGCATGTAATAAATATGGGAATACTGCATTCTCAGCCTGAAATTCTCTGCTATCCCTCTATAATCCCACATAGCCAGGACACTCCATATTCTCTCCTGTGAAAATTCATGAAGACACAAGAGCTACAGAAACCTAACCACCTTCAGAAAAGTCAGGTGCTGAATGTCTCCGTGGGTTGCAAAGACAGCAGAAAAAGTTCCTTTTAATGCTTTTCAATTAGATCTAGTTTTCATTACAAACTCACTGCTAGGGTCAATGATATCAGTGCTCTGAGGGCAAGGTAGATAGAGAGAAAACCAGGTTCCCCTTTTGGAAGATTTCTAGATTTACTTATGCTTGACCACACTACAGGAATTAGAATAGGAAGTATATGGGGAAGCAACTTGGGGGAGTCTTTGAAAGCCAAGCTAAAGAATCTGGAATTTCATTTACACAATTGGATAGCATGACCAGTATTCTCCGATAAGGAGTTAAGATGGCAGATGTGGAACTGGAAAGAAGACATCATGAACCTCTGTTACTACAAACACATTTTTCTAAACATATGAGGCTGAGTTTTAATATGTTTCAATATTCTTCGTTTTTAAAAAAGAAAAAAAATCCACTTTATAGAAGAAACATGAACTGATTCAAGTTAAGAAAGTTGTATTTAATTTTGCAGGTGAAAAATGAGAGAAAAAAGGTGTGTGCTGTTAAAGCCATCGGAAGTTAAAGGCCGTGTCCTGCCTTATGCCAGAAGCTCCTGTGTGATAAAGATATCACTCTATATCTCTCAGTTCTTGAAGTCAATGAGGTTTTGTTCTTATCACATTTATTTACTGGCCTATAAATCTCTAAACACTACTTTATCTAAATAGACCAAATTCATTTTAACATATTTCCCTTAGCTAGAACAGCAAACCTTACTCTATGAGTCCTTTCTGGAATTCTTAGGATACAGTGTGGAAAGTATTTGAAACCAGTAAAAAACACAGAAATAATTTCCACAAAATCACAGCATACTCAGGCACAGATATTAAATTCATATAGTAGGAGGCATTTAAAAAACCAATAGAGATTCAAAGAAGCATTTTGCCAATTCTGAATGGTAAGTGCGAGAAAATATTATACCCAGAAGGGTATAACAAGCATGTACAAAATTAAATCAGCAGATAGAATCTAAACGTTATCAAAAATATGATGAACCGGATGAGGTGGCACATGCCTGTAATCCCAGAAGCTCAGGAGGCTGCGGCAGGAGGATTATGGTTTCAAAGTCAGCCTCAAAAACTTAGTAAGGCCCTGTTTCAAAATAAAAAGGGGACGTGGCTCAGTGGTTAAGTGAGAGGGGGGCAGGGGTGTCCAATCTCTGGTACCAAAAAAAAAAAAAAAAATCCAATGATTTCAGAATTGCAAATACTAAATACAGTACCAACCCAGGGATAGGGAGTGAGAAACGGTTTTATCAAAATTCTCATAAAATGCAATTGGGTTCCATTTCTTATTAATGGATGCTGTTAAAAGTTAGTGATTCTCCTGTGGTCCACCATACTTGAAAAGTTAATCCACACTTTCTCAGTTCCTGAACATGAGTGGTTTTCTGTTATAGAAACACCAGCACTAAACTTGTGCAACTCCCACCACAATATTTAAAAATAAGAAAGTCATCTAGAGCTAAATTAAGAGGTCAAAGTTCGTTTTTAAAAATTGTTTTAAAGTCATCACACAATGTGAAGCCCACCTCTTTTGAAGGGATTTTTGAGAAAAATACATAAAATATCAGTGGCACAAAGTGATTTCTTTTTCTTTCTTTCTTTCTTTTTTTATTTAAATGTTTCCTGGTCCAGAGAGGACAGTTAAGACATTTCCTGTGTGTAAATGCCACCCTGCTCAGTGAGAAATTTACAACCACCCTCAACTCTTTTAGAATAACAGCCTTTTGTTATGGGTAGACCTGGAGTGCATTCCTCCCCTCACCTTTTTAGATTTTCTCCCAGTTTTGCTTTTTTGCTGAAACTACAAGGGGGAGGGGGCTGACTGAAGACTGATGGTTGGTTTTCAGTTCCAGACTTCCTGTGGGTGCTGCTTTCCCTTTGGCATAATGACATACCAAAGTAGGGGGCCTGGGCCACGGGTAGAAGGGTGCGTTCTGAGTTACCAGACCCTAGAGAAAGTACATTCTTCTGTTTTACCACTTGCAAGTTCCCCTCACCTCTAGGTTTTTTTTTTTTTTTTAATTAAACTCCATCTTCAAAGACTCAAGAGGAATGAACCAAAAACTCACAACCATTCCCAAGAGTGAATGGAGATTCCTCTTCAGCTAACTGCCCAAGGAATGCAGCACAGCCTAGCAAATGTTTAAAATCACGTCCTGTTCTACCTCTTGTTTTCCAAAAATGTGTCATTACTGTCAACTATGTCACAAGACAAATAAACCAATGAATGAAATATATCACCCCCCCAAATGAAAACATTCTAGGACTGAGCAGCTTCCTTCCTTCCTCCTCCTCATAGAAACCACATCTTTGCCACCAAGAAGAGTTAAAATAAGAAACACAGTCTTGGAGTACTACTCTTTACAGTACTAGAGCCATTCCCTGCCTATTACTGTTTCCAGGGGCTTCCAAATGGAAGGAGTTCGGTTTTGGCTTATAAAGCTTTTTTCATGTATAAACTGAGATCTACTGGCCAGGGCCTGATGGCTGGTCAGTGACAGCCATGGGCTGCAGGCAAGAATACAGTACACTCATGCAGCACAGAGTCCTTCTCTTCTTAAAAATATGTATAGTAAAATACTGGATGTATTCAATTATTTGAGCTTGATTCAGACGCCAAGAAACCTGTAATTGATCCATCTAATTCAACCCATAGCACTGGAATGGCAAAAAATGGCTTTTATTATAAATTACATAGCCCACTAAATTGATGGGAAGGCTCTTCCCCCCACAATACATCAAAAGAGTTAAAATTAAGCTTTAGAATCAAAACTGTAATTTACTGAAGGCTTAGGAACAAAAAGACCACTCCCTCCTCCCCTCTGCTATTGTTCTACAGGACTGGGCACTCAGAGTAGTGCACTTTACACCTTTAAGGCTTCCCAGAGGTAGGAGGCTGGGGGCTGGGAGCCAGAGGCGACCCGGAACCAAAAACTTGCCTGCTAATGGATCTATTAGCACCGATCTCCTGAAGAAAAAAAGATAACTAAAGAGAAAGGGAGAAAATGTGTGTGTAACGGCAGCTGATACCTGACAACCAAGAGCCAAAAAGGATCTGGAGAGGGAATCCAAATGGTAGCTTTTTTGGAGCAACTGCCTCCTGAAGTCGTGAATGGGGTGCTCGCAGCCAACCAGAGGCTTTGGGGCCGTGCGGAGCCAAGTCTTCATTAGGGTCAGGTACCATATGGCAGAAATAAAGCCACAGAACCCATGGCGACCCGGCCCCAGTGAGGCCTCAGGAAAGGTGCTTACCTTGGAGCTGTTTGAATCTCCCTTCCAGCTGGTTGTAGTTGTAAGGCACCTGCCCCGTGTACGCAGGCGACAGCGGCCCAGAGATGCTAGAAGTCCTCTGCAATTCCATTATGCCCGCCGTAACGCCCTGGCGGGCTGCACAGTGGAAATCCCGCTCCGGCCCCTTCCTACCCCCATCCAACACTCAGTAGCTTTCGCGCGGCTTGGCTCCCTGCCCCCAGCAAAAAGGGCTGGACCTCAAGCGAGCCGCATTCCGGTCGGAAATAGGTGCAGGGTGATCTGATAGGAAGTTGGTTGTAAGAGTCCACCTTAGCCGGGCGAGGAGTTACCACTCAGGCATCTAATTCCTTACGGCTCTCCTTCCTTCGGTGGCCCTTGCCCAGAAGCTTGAGAGGAGGGAGACACAAGTCCTACTTAAAAATGTTTTAAATATGGCCAATCCTAAGCATGCCACGGTCACCAAGCGAGGGTGCTCGCGGGAGCAGCGCACACACCTCCTCCCGACTGCCCGCAGCGGCCGCCGGTTTGTAATTTAATCAGGAGCCACTCGCCGAGTGCTGGGCGGTGATGTCACCTGATTAGCATAACAGCATTGTGGAGGAAACGCAGGCTGTACCACGAGGAGGGGCGCGGGGGAGGCCGGCCGGCCCGCGACCCCACAGGACCGCAGAGCCCGCACGGCCAGGGTCGCCCCGCAACCGCCGACCCGCGCCGCGGTGGGACCTTCCCAAACAAAGCTGCTGGAATTACAATCTTTTGTTGGGCGCCTCACGTAACGGAAAAGTCTCCGATTACTATCACTTGAAAAGGAGCGCACGACCGCCGGAGGCCGAGACGCTGGCGAGAGCCCCGCAGGCCCCCGGCCCGCGCCGCTCGCCCCTGGGAGCGTCAGCGGAGATAACGCGGGCCGCGCACCTGGGCGCTCGGCAGCCAACTGCGCGGGCACCAACCACGCGGCCACGGCGCCGGGAAAGTTCAACAAAGTCAGGCTGCGCGCCACGCAGGGCGCCGCCGGGGGAGGCGTGAGCCCAGGCCCACGGGGGAATCTTCCCGGCAGACTGCTGCCTTCCTGGGAGGTTAAGCCGGGGGCTTCCCGGGGTAACGCGGGCCCTGTAATTCCAGCCAGGAGGATTTATGGGAGCCCGAGCTGCAGAGCATTATGGGAGAAAGGTGCACAGGTAAACACCACCAGGATCCCGACGCCAGGGGCTTACAACTCCGCGGGGAGACCAGAGAACAGAAATCAAGTTCAATCCTACTTAAAGTTGTTAAACGAGGCCTCGAAACTTTTGGTTCTCCAGATTTTTGAATCTCTCCTGGTTCTCCCAACCCATTTCAACCCAAATTAAAATCCTCTACGTAGAAAGTCATATGATCAAAATGTATCCTTGGGAAATAACCAACACTAGTCCTGTCCCCTCCCCACTTTTTTCTCACTGAAATTGGCAGACAACAAATTACAAATCTGGCACTCCGGGCTTAGAGCCCTGCAGCAATACTGAAAAAGGTAATTTATTCATACCTAGAGGATTCCAATCTACACCAAAGAGGTGGGCCCCCATTCCAGGTCTACTTTAGTCCCCAGGACAAAGGTCTGTATCCTGTCCAGCTCTAGAGTTAAAACAACCCAGAACTTAGCTGTACCCAGCTTCCAACAAACCTTACTCCTGCTACACAACTGGGTTTTTTATACATTCAGTGTCAACCTTTGGTTTTTAAGATAGGTTCAGTCAGGGTGAGAAGACGTTTCTCATCATCCCAGATGTAGAGCATATTCTAAAGCTCTCCTACCTCTGCCAATTCACAATACTGAACAGGTAGGTGTCAGGAAGGGAGACAGCAAAATGCTGGTCTTGGAAGAAGCCCTTAACTAGGAATTCCCAAACCTGAGTTTTCTAGTCCTAGTCAAACCTCTTCCCCACCCTTATGACCTTAAAAGAAACCCTAGTTTCTTTCTAAACCCCAAATGTCAGGAATAGTGTCTCTCTCACTAAGGAGATGATGTAAAATTGCCCTAAAATTTTTCATATGCTTCAAAATTGAGTATATTTTTCACAGGGCACCTTTCCTTCTATTCCTCCCCACCCCACGTAACATCTAGATTACAAAGAAAAGTAGAATATAGAATTGTCTCCATGGGGATCTTTTCAACAGGCCCTGCTTCACTATTAAATACGATGAGTGATGCGATGAGTCTCAGTGTCCAGCTATTGCACAGAAAAATGAGATTACAAATGCTTTGCCAACTTATAATATTTTATTTTTAATCTTTAAGCCACTTAATGAGGAGAGTGTGAGTCACCACTCGGAATATCTCCCTTTCAGCTCCCTCAGGTATGAGGAAGTACACGAAATAGCTTTCCAATTATCCAGATTTCATACAGCATGATGGGAGAGGCTGGGACTACTGAAGCCACCCTCAATCCTAAAAAGCAGAGATTGAACAAACCAGGCAGAGTGAACACATACACGTGTTAGAAAGATTTTGAGGCTGAGGAAGGGTTTAATAACCCCAAGGAGACGGGTGAGAAACGGAAATGTATTTGATGTGATGGGGCCAGGGAAGAATGGGACAAAACCTGAAAGCCCATCTGACTACCTCCAAGTCAGCAGTGGGGAGGAAGGTGAAGGATGGCCAGAGGCACTTGTTCTTTATTTCTTTAGTGTTTTACAGTGCTGTATTTACAATACAAGATGGGCAAGGCAATGATGTTTTGGAGGATTCAAAGATGACTAGAAGAGCTGCTAGCCAAAGGAGATGGGACAAATTATGTGCACACAGTTAAATATCAAAATAATACAAAGACTTCCGAAGACATGGAGGCCACCTCTGCCTAGAAAGGCAGGTGGGAGGAGCGCCAGGAGAAACATGACCATGAAACACAAGCAGGCAACAGGCTGGAGAGAGGGAGAAGAAGCCTCACCTAACTGCCCCAGGAGTAGGACGACCAAGTGCTGAGTTGAGTTGGTTGGCTGAAGCACAGGAATTGTTAGGCTGGGATGGAAACCATGAGAAGCAGGTTAGAACCAAGAATGGGCTGAGAACCACTGGAGACTTTAGAGCTAGAGGGTCTGGGCTGGGCTCTAGGGATGATTAATCTGACAGGAAAGAAACAATGAAGGCAGAAAAGTCAAATGGGTGGTTACTGCAAATGTCTAGGTCAAAGGACCAATCAGGGTGTGGCAACAGGAATCAAAGGGCTGATGTAAGAGTTAATCCTAGGACTTTGGTAACCAACTTTATGTGAAAGTTCAAAGGATAGGATCAGGAAAGACTGGCGCTGGCAGGGGTATGTAGGGGAGGACTGAACATTTCCTTCTAAACAGACTGAATCTGAGTCTGTAACACCACCAGATGACATGTCCAGACCAGCCAGGGATGGACAACCAGAGCTCAAAGCTAAAGATAGAGTCCTAGGCACAGAGGTGTCAGTTGAGAGAGTAATGGTGTTATTATTTCCAGGAAGGGAAAAACAAGGCAAGAGCCTAAGTAGAGCCCTGGGAATGACTTGGGTTTGAGAGGAAGAAGAAAAAATAATGGAGAGTTACAGAATGAAAATCCAATAGAAAAGAGATACTCAAGGAGGAAATGGGGTGAGTGACATCAAAAAGGACAAGGAAGTAAGTAAGGCAAGACAGTGTGCAGATTGGGAGGTCAATGGGTTAATAAAAGCTAAAGCCAGGTAACAGAGACTTAGAGAATAAAGAGAACGGGGAAGAAGAGACAGTAGGGACTGGGGAATGGAGGTTAAAGGACAAGGGAGAGGGATTCTGGGGCAGGGCCTAACTGAGCATGTCGTCTGTGCACAGGTTTCACCCCTAGGTTGGCATGAGTAGAGAAAAGCCAGTAGGAAAATGGCTCAGAGGTATGGTTGGTAGTCAGCCTCAGCCTAGAGGAGGTCCGCTCATTTTCAGAGACAGGGAAAGGACAGAGACATTCTGAGGAGGGAAGAAGAGATTTAAAGGAGTTACTTAGCCCTATCTTAATAAATGACAGGTCAAGCATCCTACCCAAGTTTTGTTTACAGTGATCTCAAAAGAATCCCAAAGACACGCAGATACATGTGGCATGTGACTGGGAACATAAAAAGAGAGAGACAGTATTCAGAATGCTTAGTAATTGACTAAGCTTCCTGCAGAAATAGACCTTGTCATTATGGCCCATCTCCTCCATTTTCTAATCTACCCTAGTCCTCACCCAGGCTAGGGGACCAATTCAACAAAAGTGGTGATGCCTGCCTTCAAGCTGCATCAAGATTCCAAGGTGTGAGGCTGGGAGTGTAGCTCAGTGGTAGAGCGCTTGCCTTGCATGCATGAGGCCCTGGGTTCAATCCTCAGTACCACATAAAAAAAATATATATATATTGTGTCCATCTACAACTAAAAAAATATAAAATAATAATAATAAAATGATTCCAAGGTGTGAAAAAAACATCCATGACTGACTGGCAAAGCAGCTCAGTGATGCCAAAAAGGTAAAGCCAGGTCCCCATGATGATCTATGGACAGAACAAATTAAAAGCTTCGGAAGGACCCAAGTTCAGTATCAGGTACTCGGGCTCACCCTAACTTCTGGGTGCCACCAACAGGATACCAAATCTTGAGCTGTGTTTCTAACCTTCCTGGGACCTTGTATATAAATCACACAGGTTGGAATCTAACACCATAAAAATTCCTTCTGGTCCTAAATGTATCAGTGATTTGGATGCCCCTACTCGGGTCCCAAGTATAACTGTAGTCCCAATTATTATCAATCCCCACATAAACATAATGGCCATAATAACCATAAAATTATCACCCTTTGCAGTTTACTAAATGTTTTCACATATATTTATCAAGAAACCCTATAAGGTTAAATATTGACTGCACTTTACAAATAAGACAACTAAGAGTCAGGGAGATACAGTGCTTTCCTTGCCAAGATCTGCCCAGCTTGATGAATAGCTCAGCCAACAGGTGGATCCCAGGCTGACCAAGTCCAGCACTCCTTCCACCTCTCCATCTCTGCCATTTCTCATATGTGCTTGGGATTTATCTAAGTAAGGATTTCTAAGCTTTTCAGAAAAATTGTAAACTCAAATAGTACCGAGGTAAACCTAAAACCCAAGCAAGCCTCCTTGGGAATCCCTACAACAGTTAGTTTGGGTCAAGAATAGGCACATTCTCTGCAAGTGCACATAAAACTTGACACTTGGAGGGGTCTTTTGTTGAGA